ACAAGGCGAGCAACGAAAATACCGAGATGGGCTATTTGACGTAATTTGAGCTCAGCCCCGGGGTGCAGTCAGCTATCAGAAATGCAAGGCAGGACTGTTGCAGCACATTTTAGGTTGGCTTCTAAATCTTCCGTGCGGCTTGTCCGTGCTCTATGGCCTCGTGTGCATTGCAGCGGCAGTTGCCGTGGTTAGGATGCAACCACGACCGCACCCTGAGAAGGCACTACGAACCGACTCACTGAAGAGGCTGTGTCATCTATGATTGCGGTTATATCTCTCGTGTTGAACCATTTCAAGACATTCAAGAGGTCATAGTGTTGTTGGAAGTAGCCACACTAGTGGGATGAGAAAGTCCAAGCTTACTTACTGTGACAGGAAGCATTCCAACGCCGAAGGAGAGAAACACGACGTTTCTCGTAATGTTCCCACTTTGGAATCATTTTTCTTCTTCTTGTAAATAACCATGTTGTCCAATGTTGAATCATCCCATTGTTGTTTGTCGAGAGACCTGCAGGCCGCGAAGCATCTATATCTCTTGTTTCACTCCGTGATACCGTGTAGCTGGTTCCAGAGTACATCAATCTCGGTCTTCCAATAAATGACGTAGCTGCCATGATTTTGTGCGCTAGAAAGCCCATAAATCGCTACTGACGATTGATACGAAGCTTGAAGGAGCAGTTGTGCTACATTTACAGCCATATGTCTTTGTATTTGATATCCAGCTCAGCTGGGAGGAGCGGCTTGGCGCGGTTGCAAACAGTCGAGCTCTGTACATGGTGCCTCGTCAGTGTGGGAATTACCCGCATCGGCTGGTCGATCTCGTGTGACAGGCAGGGTTGCTTGCAAGGCTGGCTCTGGGGCTTTGATGGTAGGCAAGCTGAATTGGTTGTCCTAGTCGCCGGGCTACACAGAATATTCTACAGAGCGAATACCTTTATGGCCCTAACCTCTCTAGAAGCCCAGAAACAGGAATGTCATTTGACCTTGGCTTGGTGCTTGCCCGATGTCGATGAATTTGCGCCCTGCCGACCAAAACCGCTAGCATCAGACTTGAGAGTAAGTAGATAAGCTGTGATTAGGATTGTGGATTGGGGATGGACGTCCATGTGGCTGTTCCGAACCACCTTAAGCCCTATTCGTGATTTGCCCCGAATAAAGCCTTGCGCTGCTGGTGCCAAACGGGACGACGAATTTCATAGCCAACTCCCGCAACGCCATTTGAGCAAGGTTGCCCACAGACTTGGATTCGTGCTGCCAACTTTCTATGACACATTGGCCGACGCTGGGCGTTTTGATACCAGTCTCCTGTCCGTCGATCATATCGTGGTTGGGGCGTGGCACCCAAATCCTTTCGATGGGTCTTTCCAATCCTGGTCTCGAAACGAGTGAAGAGTCCTTCGTTCCTACTTTGGAACGCATTTTTAAAGGGCGCCATAATTTGAGAGTAGCAGAGAAGGAGTTGCACGGTGTATTGTCATTTGTGAAACTTTAGCGCATCTGAACCATTTGAAACCAAGACCTCTCTGATGACGATGGCTGGGCCGTTTGTATTGTCCTAGAAGCGGTATGTAGCATGCTTGTATGGCTATTTTATGACATGGCACATTGTTCTATGGCAGGGTCGCTCCCGCGCGGTCTTTGGTGACGTAGGTCAGATCTAGAAGCCTGCTAAGTCGGGCATTGGGGCGCTTCGTTGGCGCAGAATGATGGTGACCCAGGAACGTAACCTTGTGGAGAGATCGGATTACCAGAGGCCAAGAAAACGGCATCTGCACAGCCATGATGGACTATATCTTTTCATAGGCTCATAGCAGATCTGGATATCTTATCATTCTGTGCTGTTGCTGCCTCCCATTGGTATCAGCCTCGGGGGGCTCCAAGACAAATTAGTATCCGGGTCGTCTGCCCACATGGAGCAGATCCACCCTCTCCGGCCCACACTGTCAAGGGGTTCCCGCCACAAATCACCAGGGTGAGAAAACCAGCTGTATCTGGTTTAGGGGTAAAAAGTGAGAGATTGGCCAATCGGAAGGAACTCTATGCGAAGGCAGATGCTGGCCCCAGTTGTCGCCAAAAGGTTGTTCGTACTGTACATCTGGTGCGGGCCTTGTGGCTTGTCTTATAGATAATGTGGCGTATTTCGAGATCTATCTGTGTGAGGCCCAACAAACCTTTTTTAGAACATATGACATCTAAGATGCAGGGACAGTGGGAGTGCCGGTTTTGTATTGTAAGGCGACCAACCAATGCCGAGTTATTTGTGTCCATATTGTACTGTCTTGTCTTGCGCAAAAAAATGTTCTGAGCAGTTAACCCTGGTCTGCTGACGATGGAATGCAGCTTAGAACCAGTTGCGCATGTCTGGTACATTCGCGACAGGCTTCGAGTTTTACCGGCTGCATCGCCCTCGCACCCCGTATGAGATGCCTGATAGTACGCATCATATGAAGATTTTGAACCTGTTTCCAACTGTCGAATTGATGAGAAACGGTGTTATGCTGCTTGTACAGCACCCTCCCCGTTTGTGCCATTGGTCGCCGTCCCCGGTATCGCCACGGACGGGCTGGATGACCAACCAACAAACAAACCGGAGTGTGAATGTGCTGCAATTACCATGATTGAAACGTTTGTTTCTGCTTGGTCAGCGCCGGGTCGCCCATGGAGTGTGATACGTTGGCTGTTGGTAAGGCTTGCCATCACAGAGCCGAAAACCGCCCGGGATATTCGTATTTGCTGATCAATAAAACCTTCGTGTAAACAAGCGAGTCATGGGCGGGTTTGGCAGACCAACGTGGGAAGCAACACTCCGTATTCCCAAGCACATTTTCTGTTTGCTTGATACGACTGCAGTTAACTTGCTCTGTGTCGGAGATAAGGTTTCTTCCCATGCATATTTCCCCCCATTGTTCACACGTGCCTAGGGCCTTACTAGGCAGCCTCGCTGGGATCTTTCTCCTGCATGGTGTAGGGGTGGCACGACGGTGGTGCGGACTGAGCAAACGAACGGGGTCTGAAGGTGACAGTCGATTCTGCAGGATGCTAATCTGGACAATGATGGCCTGAAGAAAGGCACTGGAGAGGCAGACCTGACAAAAGGAACGCAGCCCTTGCCAGCATGCACTATGCTTTTGATCTTGGCTAGTCGGGAAAGGCGCGGGAGCACGGGGCCCCGAGGGCACGGAGGCGCATTGACGCGGAGAAAGGGGCGGTAGGTTGTTGAAGAAAGCTCTGTTGTACAGAGGGCTGGTGCATTTCATCGAGACTTTGATGTTGATGTTTGAACGGCGACGTTGGGTCTGACGGTTGTAAGTTATGAGTTGCTCGCAGTGATCAAGTCGCGCAACGTGGAGCGCGCCTCTGAGCGAGTGCAGTGCTCGGGTGAGGGTGAGGGTGGGGCACGCTAAGAGACGGCAGGAGCTGCTGTAAACCGTGCAGTAGCGTGCTGGAGCGACTAACAGTACGCTGAATTGTTGGCATCTGGGCAGCACCAGCAGCCGGCCACAGGCGGCTACGGTGGATGCAACCCCAGTGGCCCAGTAGTACCGCCAAACATCGACGAGTCTGGTTGACATTAGGCAGGCCCACTACTCTGTACTTGCACACACTTCCGCACTTCCACTTCCAAATCTCGGGCGCTACCCGTGCACTTGAGCACTCGAACATTAGTTGTGACTTGAGTGCTCCGAACTCCATGCTCCATAATATGCTGGGATTCTGGGGGCCCGGCTGCCACCAAAGGGCCGCAAGAGTCAGACTTGGCAGTGACGTCGGATAGGGTTCCTGCCTGCTCCTGCCTGCTCCTGCCTGTTCCTGCCTGTTCCTGCCTGTTCCTGCCTGTTCCTGCCTGTTCCTGCCTGTTCCTGCCTGTTCCTGCCTGTTCCTGCCTGTTCCTGCTTCCTCATGGTTTTTCGTGCCTGCGCTTGTCCTGCTTTGGCCGCTTGGGAGCCGTCTGCTCTTTCCCCGGTTATTGCTCCTCTATTCTGCTCCTGCTAGGGGCACTTGAGCACTCGAGCACTTTCGCCTCGAGCTGCTTTATCCTCTTTGTGCTGGTTGGCTCACATCCACTGGCAGCTTGGTATGGCGGGGACTGCAGCCTGGCCTCGCCCCGAATGGCTCGTCTCCAGTGTCCCGTACGGAGCATCCGCCGTCTACAATGCTGACTGGAGCTAGTTGACTCGACATTGGAACATGCTACTCTGCAATACCTTCCTCAGGCACTTTGGTACTCGGTACCTCGAGGGCGTTTCGACACAGCCAACCACCAGACACTTTTGAGCTTTTGAATCCCCCAAGTCTCAACGTCCAGCGACCAACAACAACCACCAACAACCAGCAAGCCCGCAGTTCTCATCCACTCACTCCGTTCTCCGGTCTCCGGACTCCGTACTCCATGCTCCATACACCCTTTACTTTGCCCTCTCTCGTGGCTTTGCCCCATGAGACGAGCAGTTTTTCCTTTCCCTGTCTTCCACCCACGCCTCCCTAGCTAGTCTGGTACGCTTCTAGTACCTTGGGGGCACACCATTCTCGAGTATCATGTCTCAATCTTCGCGGTACCTCGCGGGGCCTGAGGTATGCGGCTTCTGGAAAGGACTCGTTGATATGCAGACGATGACTCCATACACCCATGGATGCCTGCTCTTCATCCAGCTCGGCCCTCGCCTTTTGGCCTGTTGACCTCAGTACTATATAATCTTGGACCTCTCTCAGCCTTGCCGTCATCTTTCGACTAATCCATTTCCAGACACCAGGTCTATCGGCCTACACTCTCTGTTCTCCTCAATATATATTGCCGCTACGCTTACCAAATTGGTCTTGAACTTCATTTTGTCTGCATAGACAACCCTATCAAACAAGATCTACATTCGGAACCATCGTTACCAAGCATTGAGTCTGTCTTCTGTAGCTCGAGCAGCAGCCGGATATATTGAATCGAGTTTTCTTTTGCGTTACTCACCACCCCATTTTGTTTCAGGCAGTTTCTGCGAGAGAAGCTAGACATGTTCGGTACCTGGAAGTACGGCAAAGGTCAAGGACAGGTCGAAAACCTGAAAACTTCCCACGATTATGAGACAGCACGCTCTAATCAGCATCAAGCTTGTAACAGATGCCATGAGAAGAAGGTACGCTGCATCAAAAACGCCCTATCTCTTAAAACTCCGCGCTCAGATTACCGGGTCCTGGTGTTGTTTTCTACTGTAAACAGTCATTTCTGTTTTCGTTACAGATTGATCTGTCTCAGTATGACCGGAGTATATCTCCCGCAAGCCTTTTATTATTTCCTCTATTATTCATACGGGCTCTTATAATTCCGCCAAAACAATGATCCCTCCAGAATCCATCGCCAGAGCACATGGCAGCTCAGGCCTTAACATACCTCGAACATGAACTTCTGAGATCTTGAGGCTAACCAGGTCCTCTTCGAGAGCAGTTGAAATGCAGCGGCGACAAGGACGGGTGCGAGAGATGCACCGCTCAAGGTCTAACCTGCGAATATAGTCGTGAAAATTCTCGTTCAAAAAAGAACAGAAAGTCCGACCCTCCTTCTGCGGGTAGTTCAAGAAGTAGTCGTGATGGTAGTGGCAGCCCGAAAAGCTTTCACAAATCCTATTCATCCAAATCCAAGGATAGGCGAGGTACTCCTCAGCCTGGCAGCTCTCGAGGAGATTCAGTAGTAACTGGCGGGAACACGCATCACGAGTGCTCGGTCCTCGCCGGGCATGGAATGACTGCGTTTGACGGCTACCCAATCATGTCCTCGACTATGGAAGCACAGTCTTCTGGGTATCCTGCAACTGCCCCAATGGGAGATTTTGCGGCTATTGGCGACTACACACAAGGTACATGGATGCTGGATGGCAGCACAAGCACTGGCATTGGCTCTTCGTTTATCGCAACCTCGGAAGCAATGTACACAGATGATGCCCACGCATTCTCAAGCTACTCCAATCAAACCGGCTTCGATATGTATCAACAAATGTATCCAGATGAGGACCCCCGATTTGGCCTCAAAACCAGGATCAGCAATGACAATTACTGACAAGCAATGTGCGCTATGTCTAGAGGTGATTGCATGTGGATAGGTGCCATTGGGGCAACGCCGGTTTCTCATCTTCTAAACGATGACTGGGAGACATCACAACTCGTCATTCTGTTTTTCCTTATTTTCTTTGCACAGCACATGCATATAGTTTCACGAATATTTACAATGTCACGACCTGCGATTCCGTCTGCGACCTTTTTTTGTGGCCCCTTTTGCTTTTCTTTTCTTCTCTTTTCTTTTCCTCTCCTCTCTTGGGCTTCATGGGACAGTGATCCTTGTCCTTGACCTAACAGCTGTGGGCTACATGCCGTTAGCACCTTGCCAGTAGTAAGGTTTTGGAGCAGTAAGGGATTGGGGTCCTCAGCACGTTAGATGTTTAGTTCATCCATCGGTTTTAAAGTATTTCGAATCCACGCGCATGGTACTATGTATCATATACATAGCAAGGGAAGAGATGGAAAAGAAGGTTACAGACACATAGTTGGACCAGACCCGAGCTGCGACGTCGCAAGACATATGCAAATCTGTTAACACTTGGTTCAAGTGTATCCCAGTGTTGATACTTATTCTGTTAAATGCTTTTGGAATTTGTGTTCTTTTCGCAGCGATAGACCACACTACGGAGGAGACGACTTGGCCGTATTGGCAAATGGAACAACCCCCCCCCCAATGATGCATATATTGAATTGACATATTCCCCCTAAATTATTAAGCATGAGGTAATTTGGTGGACATGACCTTGCTCGTCGAGACATTGTGAGTTGTGACTATGGTCGCAGCAAAGAGGGGATCTTTAGAGGTTCTTTTGGCAATTTCATTTCAGTTGATTCCGATTCGATCGTGACTCGACCGAGCACAAGAGGAGACTGCAGCCTGATGAGGGCTAACGAACTTGGATCTGCCTGCATCACAACCAGGCATCTAACTCACCTGACAAGTGCATTCGCATGGGGGAAAACCCTGGGAACCGCACCGCATGCGCCGTCGTATGCAAAATTCACCGCCGACAGCACAAAATATGCGGTTGGTCATGGGGCGGGAGTCGCGGGACCGTGGGACCCAGGAGCTTTGCTGGTTCGACAGGGCATCTTGACGGTTAAGGCTGTGGTGTGCTTTGTGCCTGGCCCCAGAGCCTAGTTTTCCTAGCCCCGTTGAGAGTTGTTCCCTCCTCCTCCCTCTTTGTCTGCATGGAGCGGAGGCCCTGGTGCAGATGCGGAGCAAGGATCTAGAAGCCGCGGGCGGAATAACAGCTGAAGCACTCTATGGAGTAGAAGAAGTCTGGCAAGCTGGCAAGGCCGCGCAATAAATTGGTGCCGAGAAAGGAGTCAACTGGGTGCAACTGAGTGCAACGGCTCTAGAGTATTGGCCAAGGTACCAGGCGCGCAAACCCGATGGAAAACAGAGTGCGTGGTTATAGCTGCATGTTGCTTCCATGTTTCTGTTGTTCTCAGATTTCCATGCACAGGGCAGCCTCTGAGATTCTAAGATGCGTGGTCGGGGCTTAGTAATTCCGAGTGTGATGCGGCTCAACTGACAACCAAGAATCCGACTTTTTTGCGCCCATAAACGGAAGGCAGGCTGGGAGGAGTGTGCAACACCCTCTGCAACACCCACAGTTCACAGCCATCACCAACAACCACCTCGATTCATCATCTGCCGCATTGGCAGCAGCACATGGTGCATCGCTTACATATCCCAACCACTTGTGAGGCTCTGTCTTAAGGCCGAAGCTGTTCGTGCAGCCGTGCCAGGGTCGTCCGCGTCAGCACAAGACACCATCAATTGACCCCATCATGGCTGCGCAAGGCGATACACCCACGGTTCCAACCACGCCATCCCAGAGCAAATCGGTCGTGGCGCATCTGCAAGACTGGGGATGTAAGTTTTCTATTGTGGCCCTTTGCTCTCGCAAATCAATGTGTTCTCCTTCCATTGGGGGCAGGGGTTCATTCACTTTGACGTGTGGCGGCCTTGATGTCATCCTCACAGATCGTCCCCTTGTGCTCTTCACTCTGCACATCACCACGTCCCCAGTGTTCCCCTCTGTATAAGACCTAAGACCTCGATATGCAAGGAATTTTCGTCGAACGAGGTCCGATTCCTTCTCGTCGGCATTATCTCGTATTCCTGGCAGCAAATCCCACCACCTTGATGGGACTAGGAAAGAGTCATAGCTATATCACCACCAGGCAACCCTCTCGCCTCGTCCCGGATAATCTAGACGCAGAGTAACAACGGTTGACTAACTCATTCATCCTAGCATCTTCCCTTCCCCCTGCCCTCCTGGCAACCCTCGTCACAGCCCTCCACGCCCGTCCACTCCAGAAGCTGCCCCTGTTTCTTTTCACACCTCCTCTGCTCTTCTCGTCATACCTCAATCTGTCGGGATACCCAACTGGCAGCGCTGGCCTCACGGCCGCTTGGTCGGGCTTGTATGCGCTGCTCGCGCTGCGGAGGCGCCAGCCCTTCAGGAGCAAGTTTTCTGCAAGGGGTCTGGTGAGAGGAACGGCGATTGGGTTAGGGGCTGCGAACGCCGTCGCTGGCGGATGGGTGTACTTTGGCGGCGACTTTGCAAAGGATGAGGAGGAGAGGATTAGGAGGAACAGATGGGCGCCCAAAGATGACTAGGGCGGAAATGACGGACGCGGGTTAAGTTGTCTGTCGGACTGTTGTTGTTTGGGAAAGAGTGAATGTACAATATGGTGTAATATATAAACTCAAGATTTGACACCCATGCATCTTTTGTATTCTCGGGTTAAACACGAGTGTAATTTGAATGGAAAGCTTCAAGGCTTGCTGTGAATGAGAAACATCCACTCCAGGCCGTGATCCTGGCTCCCCATAGGGCATCCGCTTATGACGTATTCACCACTGACGTTTCAATTGTCCGCATCCCGTTCCGAAAGCAAAGCAAAGCAAAGCACCTAGACACATTCGCGCCATGTATATATATATTGTACACATGGCCATTCGGACGCGACACCGATCAACTACACCCAAGTCATTTGCCAGTTATTGTTACACTGTCAGCAACTTCAGGGTTTAAATCGCCAACAGAGCCATGATAAACACGGATGACTGGCATGAACAGATACATAATCACAAGTCGCTCCTCATCAGCGGCAGCAATCATCTATTGATGCTATCCATAATGATACATGCTTTCCTCATGAAGAGTATTGCATCCTGCCAACGCCAAGCACAAAAGAAAACTCAAACCAAAAACAAGTAGCCAGTACACTCCTACACAACGCTGGGGTCAATTCTTTTTCCGGCTATGCCATCAAACAATTCCCTCTTCACCAACCCCAAGACACCTCTTTCTTTCCCAGAACGCCGCCTCAAGATTTTCTCAGCTCTTGATTTTCTCTAAGGCCCCCAACCTGGGTCATCAAATAATCTCGATGAAAAAAATGTCCAACAATGCGTCTGATTTGCTACAGTTCTCTTCGGTGGAAATCAAAAAAAAAAAACCAAGGGCTAATGTCAAAAACAGGGCGGAGATACCGCCAATATGCGATGTACCATGGGTATTAACTGTAACGATTCTCTCTGTGAGGTCTAATATGATGTGGTAATGTGTATTCCGATTCATTGATCGGCGGGACGTTGAGCCTTGTTGATCTGCTCGGCTGGTACATAGAGGCAGGTGTCATCCATGACTCAGAGCGGCCGGGTGAAAATGTTGACCCGCATAGTTGTAGAGTAGGTTGGAGAATGTCGTTATGATTTACCATTTGGAGGTGGACTGAAGAGGTGGTCTCACACGACTGAGTCGTGAGGTCCTAAATGTATGTGAGACCCTGAAACCAGCCATACTACCATCACAAACGACGTAAAGAGAAGGCCTCGAAAAAAGGTCCGTACTTGTACTGGGCTGAATCTAGCGGGTTCCCCGTACAAGTCATACAGGCTCTGTAGTGGCCCGCAAGGAAATGCGCTGATATAGTCAACGTCGCATTCACGGACCTTGGGCTCAGCAAAGGCCTTGTACTCGTCGAGGACAGCACCCAACTGCCAACCCGAAAGTTTGCGGATTGCAGCCACGACACAACCAGTTCGATGTTTACCATGGTTGCAGTGGAGCATTAGAGGGTAATTTTTTTGATCCAGCACGAGCTCAAGAATAGACCTCATGGTGCTCATGGGAATAGCCTCTTTTTTGGTTCCCTTCATATTGAAGATGACTTGGCGAATACCATTGGTGGTTAAGAACGACTGCAAGTCATGATCTAGTTCGTCCTTCTTCACCAGGGTCCTGGGAGCATGTTAGTGCTGATAACTTGTACAGGTATACAGGGCAACTGAAGGGCAACTTACACGACTGTTTTGAGCCCTAAACTTCCCAAAAAGTCGTAATCCTCGGGCTTTGGATAACTGCTTCGGTATACACCGGGGAAAACTACACCAAAATTGACCGGGCGGCCATTTGATGCAGGTGCAAGGTAATCAGACGAGTCTGAGACGGAGATAGACGAGGACGTAGAGGTTGCTGCCGGAGAGTTGTTAATTGCCATGATTCAGCCGTTAACGGAGATGGCTGAAACCGCGACATACCTGAATTCTCGGAATGTCTACTTGAAGCGCTCGGAGGTGTGTCCTTGTCGCTGGAAACGAGACTGTGTGACTGAGAAGTCGTAGCCTGTGACTCATTGTTTATTATGTCATTGCGCTGACCCTCCTCCCTATCCTGAGTGGCTTCGATCAAGTCATCGTGAGCAGAGTTCCAGGAATTTACCCGGGATAAATATGCGGAGGCCATCTGGCTCTGGTACCCTTCGTCGGGCCTTTGATTGGCATTTATTATACGCGAGCTTCTCTTAAATGCCATGGCGTAGAGCGGGTAAAGCTCCACTGACGTTGGGAAACCTTTATATGACTCTCGACGCAAGCAGGGATTCGGACACTTGAGCACAGAGGCGTGTATAAGTTTTTGATTACCAGGTCTCGTCTTCTTGGTATGGATTGGTAGTAGGAGGGTGGGGACTGTCTCGTGTGGCAGTAAGAGAAGAGTCGTGGATAAAACGGAATATTGGAGAATTGGCGAGAGCGTCGGTTCGTTTCGGGGTTATAATCGAGTTGTTGAAGTCTGTAGAGAAAAAGGCGCAATGGACCATGGCGCGATGGAGCTGCCTACAGGTGCTCGCGAGCGTCAACACGAGGCGCCTTAACAAGGGCTAGACCTCATCCTGGAGGTAACAAGTTGGACGTGCGAAGCCATTTTGTCCCACACCACGAGAAAAGGTCGATTAAATACAAAGAAGAAAAAGAAGTTCACAGAGACGGTGCAGAACTCGGTCAGAGGGACAGGGCTAGGCACGATGAAGGGGGGAAAAAACGGAGGAGGAGGATGTGCTGAGGATGTGCGAGGCGAGGGTCGGGGGTGTCCAGTTCGAAGGCAGGTCCCAACTGCGGGATTGTTGGAGTGCAGGCAGACTTGGCAGGCAATCAAGGCAGGAATAGGCCAGGTACTTGCCGAGTAGACAGGCAAGACAGGGCGACGAGTACACCTGGCCAGTGAGAGTCAAGGTTGGCGCCGGCAATGTGGGGAAGGCCAGCTCTCAAGCCGGAAGGCAGGTACTCTGCCGCGTGAACGCAAGTGAGGAAGGAACATTTGACCCTTCCGGTGGGCTTGCCATTGTGGGCTACCCAGCAAGGAAGGCGCGCTAACTGAGCATGAATGGTTCGCTCTTGCTTCAGCAGCCATAGACGCGCTAGGCAACAAAGTGATCTGCTGGGATAAATTCTAAATGTTAGTCTTTGATGACTTCAATAGTGCACCATCGTCAAGCTAGTTTTATTGCTTACTGCTTTCAGTTGTGATTGATCAAGTTTTATCTCCGCCTGCTCTGTCTACCTCTGCCTACTCTCACGGCGTCGTGGCCTTGCGTCGCCTTGGTCAACTCGTCATACTGCACGTGTGACGTGCTGCTCGCGAAGCACAGGCCCGGTCTTGCAGCATTCGTCAGTCACGTTCCATGCTATCCGAAGCCAAGGGCAGATGGACTGGGCTGGAGTCAGTGAGCCCTCCTTTTTTAGTTCAATCGACAATCTACATAACTGCGCAGCCTAGTCCAGTCCATATTCACAGTGAGAACTGGTTGCAGTGCACTGGGAGGAGCAATGGGGCAGGAACACTGAGAGGACATGCAGACGGCTCTTTACAGACACCAGATCTAGCCTACCTGTGCCATTTCAGCACATTGACCACTGACATTGTGAGACAAGTATGGTTGTCCTGTCCCGAGGAATCTTGACGCGCTTCCGTCAAGGCCGAGCTACCAACACCAGCCATCGCCGATCCCTGCTCTGGCGCTTCGAGCCTCACGCGCTAATCACGAATGAGTTTAGCATACGGAGTATCTTTTACAATTTTGTCAGTTTACCGATGCACCTGGACAGGCGACAGCTTTTGTTGGTGCTAAAGCAGATTCAACAGAGAGATGTTCAGTGTTCAAGAAGAAGTCTCTGCAATGTCGGCATCCTCCCCAACGATGGGTACCCAAAAAATAGATCTTTGTACGGAGGAATATTTTCGACAAAAGGAATCCCCACCAATGTGCCTGGTACGAATGAGGGGCTTGAACAGAACAAAGAGAGACGAGACGATCGTTGACATCTCATGACAGAGCAAGGCTGCCAGCATTATTGTGGTGACGCAAGGGTTTCTCTGCAAATCAACGGCCTGTTCGGCTTGGTTAGTCGTGACACTACAATTTGAGCCAGTGCGGCAGCAGCCACTGCTGGTCTGACAAGCTCAGCATCGAGAGCCTTGCTGGTCGGGTCCAAGGCTGTGTTTTATTCGCCATATACTCAGTCTATCAACATGTAGGCATGTGTTATTGCGTTGCCATCGGCGTTACCGTTGGCCCGCCACGCAGAAAGGTTTGTTGTTCTTGGCTCTGATGAACTGTGTGGATGAGGGAAAAAAGGCCAAAGAGAGGGCTCTCGGATTTAAGTGTATGCATCTAATTGGTGCCACTTCTGCCCCTAGGGCCTCTAGTTGCCAGCTTCAAGCACTTAACGCGTAGGGATATCTCTGTCGTCCGAAGACCCACCCGGCTGATCAGTCGTGGACCCTGAATTTTGTCCGTTGTGCTGATCCATCAACCTCCAGGTTACATTTGTCTTGTGGGAAAGATTGCCGCCGCAGGGCGTCAGGACTGGGGAGCCACACAGCTTGACGCGTCACAGCTATTATTAGGCCTCGATTGTTCCAGCCGAGCGAGGATGGGAACTGCTGTTGGTGCCTTTATTTTTGCCACTCAACCAAGCAAAGCCTGGCACACCTGTTGATGTGGAACATAACTAGACCGACCAAATTGTTCCCTTGCCTGTCAAACTGCGAAAATTTCTTTTCCGCTCATACCGCCAATATGGACAGCATGCGTCAGTCCTTCCCGAGTCCTGGCTTCGTCAAGCCAAGACCGGTCATCTCGCAGAAGATTTCCCCGCACGGCAGGGGAGGAGGCAAGCGAATCAAACTACCTGGAGGTGCATGAAACCAGATCCCATTCGCCGTAAATCGTCAGATCAGATGCAAAAGATGCTGGGCGGGGGCATTGCCCATTTTCCTCTTGATGCTCTAATGGCACAGCAAAAGTGATATGGGAGTCGCCAATGGCACTGTGCAGGAGATCATAGCGGCAAGCGCACAAGGAATAGATGGCACCTGACGCTATTGGGCCATAAATCCGGCAGGCTCGGAGACGAAAATGTGCCTGCACGTTGCTGTGGTCTCGGGCAATAGTATCTACAGCCGTCGCAGATGTTGTCCCTGTACGTACTCCGTAGATTTGTGTAACTCATACGGACTGCATAGGCTGTTCAGAGACAGGTCGCGCGTCATTTGAAAACAACTGCCAAGCCCAGGACATATCCCGAGACACGATCCGCCTGGAGTCTCAACCAGTTTGCGCTGCAAACGCCAAATGTCAAAGTTTCTACCCGAGCTGCAACACCTGGCGCGATAGCTTGCCATGAACAGACGGATAGCCACGGACGACGGTCTGGATGCACGACAACATTCCTTACAAGACGCTGCGGTTGGAGAGCCATGGCAACCAGGGCAGTCACTCTGCAGCACAGCTTGCATCTGTGGTGTGGATGCCCGTTATTGCATTACAACATTACAACGGCCCGTCTAGGATGCCGAAATATGCAGCTGGGGAAGCATACCTAGCATATCTAATAAGACGAGAACTCAGGAAAGATTGAAGCAAGACCTGATGGCCACACCTGGAAACTCACTCACGCGACGAGTTTCCGATTCCCCTCACCGAGACGAAGCATAATATTCCGATCCCTGCGACCAAGGCCCGAAAACATAGTAGTGGGCGAGGAAAATTGAACGGGCCGTCGCTTCTCAGGTTAAACTTCTCTGGTCGCCGAGATTTGTGCCAATGTGTTTTTCAGCTCGTTTCCTGTTCCAATCAGCTCCCTTGGGCCCTCCATGGTTCACGCCACGTCTCTAAGCAGCTTATTGAAGTGCCAAAGCGAGGTAAATGGACCCCAGGAGATGCATGTCTCGGGCTGTCGACGGGCAACCATCGACCATATTCGCCATGTCTTTGTTCGCTTGGCGGCACAGGTTTTGGCCGGCAACATCCGTTTGTGCATGGGCGAAAATGTCACATCATGGGGGTTATATCGTCGCATGCCCCTCCTTGCTGTCGACTGCGCCCGTGGAATATGCCCGCAGAATGGTCAATGAACTGATGCGAGATGCGCCATGTCTGCCCATCAACTGGCCGGAGCGTGCAGTCGGGCGGAACAGTTTGCAGAATGGGAGCCACCCAAGAATGGGAGCCACCCAAGACTCCCATTCGCGTCACTACATCTTTGTAGGCTCGTTTTGATGCTGGCAGCGACAAAACCGTTTGTGAGATATCATGCCGCTGTAGGGATGGCCATGGCTGTTTGCAGGGTCGCTGAGGGGGCTTGATGGCCATGATGACGCTTGCATATCTCTACGGGCCTAACATGAACCGAGACGGTATACTCTCCTTGAGTATACGGTTATTCGCTCATGACTATAAAAGCCTCACCTTTCCAAGCTTCATCCTCGCAACACTTTCCATATGGTTAACGCCTTTGTTACGCCGTTATGAAATCTGTGGTGTCGTTGCCAGTACATGGCTTTCCTGTGGCATGCTGCCGTACTCACGAATCTTTTTCCCGACCACGTCACGAGGCCGAAGGGAGGTTATACCAGTATTGCAATTGCCCGAACGCCGCCTACTGGGTTGTCAAGCTTAGACCGTGTCTTCGAGCAAGAACAATTAGAAGCTAATTACTATCACTAGCCTTTGCTCGTAGTAAAGGCATTTGCGCAAGACATGAACGACCCAGAGGAGGCCCGATACCGAACAGGTGAGAAGCAGCTCATCACCCTCTGCGGTGACAGGGCATACAGGCGATAACTTAGTCAGTGTCGTCGCCGAGCACGTAGCGTAGGATGCTCATGGACCCAATTAGAGATCTTGTCGGGGTTATACAGAACAGCTCAGCTCTGATGGGAAATGCTCGAGAATATCGACCGATCCCGGCAACAGCCATTACGGCCTGTCATGACCCAAACATGACGCCGTGTGGCCCAAGAGTTAGTGGCTCTGGGTGACTCTGGGCATAGGGACGGCCTCGGATCGCTACTCTCATGGTTACGTGTCCTAAGAAGAACCAGCGGAGCTTTGACTAGGCAGGGCCGCGACCCTGGATAGGAACGAGCAGCTCACGCGCTTTTTAACCCGAGGCCGGCCCCGGAGTGTTTCGTACACGGAAGATAGATAGCACATGTACTTGCTCACTGACCAGCAAATTCGGCCGTACTAATAGGCGCGGTCGGGAACCTAGGAAGTGGTGCACCGCTGCTGTTTTATGTGCACGGCGCAGTCATTCCCGTGATAATTCATGTATAATTTGACGACTACGGGCCACAGCGTGCTTACGCCGAGGCTATTGAGCGTCCTCTCCCACAGACAACCACTGGAAAATCTGAAGAGGACAATAGCTACAGAATCAACGGTATTGTGACAAGGGCTTAATAGAGGGCTTGAAGCAAAAGGGCTCAATTTAATGATAATCTTGTAGGATGTCAAAGGTCCTTGGTTCCTTTAAGCTAAAAGGCGAGGGGAGACCATCTTATATACATGAAAGGAACGGCCCGTGTCTAGTGTGCCTTATAGTTCTCGTAATCTCTTTATATAATAAAGGGCTTTTAATTCTTACTTAACTTAATTCGTGTAATATTAGCTTTCTTCTTTTATAAGCTTAACCTTAAGTAATATAAGGTTATTTATACCCTTTAGTTTTAAGGCTTATTAGAATTATTTAACTTATACTATTATAATAAAGACTTTATACTCTTACTTAAGAAGTGTTTATAAGGCTTTTAAGTTTAATACTTTTTAATTAACTAATCTTTTTACTTAATTAAGTACTTTACGTTATTATTATTAATCTATTAAAAGTTCTTAATTACTTTTACTTAATAATTTTTATTTACCTTAATAAGTAACGCGTTTTATAGAATTTATATAATATTAAAAGCTTTTTAATTATTATTTATATAAAATAGCTTAATTAAGAAAACGTAAAAGAAATTATAAATTCTTTAAAAAGCTAATAGAGTTAATTATATAGTTATTA